GCCATTATTTTATATGAAAAAGTTAATAATTGTATTTTATTAAGAAAATATTTTGGTTTGACTTGTATATTTTTTATTAGATCAGATTTTAAGCTGTCATATGGTGATGTTACAATGTGCCCCTCACATGTTACAATGTACCCCACCTATGGGGCATGTTGTCACATTTCACTTCCATTCTTTCAGGGTAAATCAAGAAAAAAGTTATACACTGTATTCATAAAACAAAACCACATAATTGTACAAGACATGTGGGAAATGAATGTGGGAAAAATTAAACATTCTAAACCCTAAGTAGATTTGCACAAACTGAGAAAGTCAAAAAGCGTTACGTTGTGCCCCGCTCTCCCCTACCAAAGTACATAGAATTTTAGTGCCATGGTATTACAGCAGGCTTTAGTAAAAGTTTAGTATATGATACTGTCATAGTACTCATTTACAAGGCATCCATAAATATAGTAATACCACAGTGCCTTCTGGTCTTTTAAGGTTAACACATTGTACAATTACGATAAGATCTAGTTTGACTTTAACCACCAGGCATTTAAAAAGAAATTTGCACTTTGAGCTGAAGTTGAACAATTTAAGTGATTTTTAAAATATACATTTGATTCCTCCTCAATATCTTGATTTTCAATAACTTCATTTCTCATTTCCTCAGGGGAAGATGCCATATCCACATTCTTCTCGTGACCAAAATGATTCGCATGGAGTCTTTCAAAGGCACTATGAGATTTTTTTAACTCCCTCAAGGTCAATAACTCAATATGTCCGTGTGTCTGTGCATGCGCATCTGTGCGTGCACATTTGTGAGATATTTAAGTGCACGGAATGACAAGACAAAAAAATTTGTCCATTATTGTGAATCTGTGCTCACACATCTGATGCATCAATACCAATGATTGCATTTACCATAGCATTTTGTAAAAAAAAAGAAAAGAGTAACCTTCCTGATTTATTATTATATATCGGATGAGTTTATCACATCCCATGGGAGCGTACACACCAGCTGTTACAGCAGGGTCACCCCCACTCACTTTACACACACACACAAGTTGTTTTTTTAATCTTTTATGGGTACTACTTTCCATAGAAATAATGATTTGTACACTATATTCTATCCCCTTGCACTAACCCTACTCTTAAATCTATCTACCCATTATAGAAAACTTTATACATTTTTACATTTTCCAAAAATATCACTTTGTATGATTTATAATGCATGGGGATCAAAAAAAAATGTCCCCAAAAGGACAAGGATTTCAGATATCGCCATCTTTGTGGGGGTATTTTGGCCCCGTAATGTAGGGTTTGCCAGGTCCAAACACACAAAAAGTGCATGGTCCATGTCACACTAAAAGCACAAGGGTTTATGGGTAGTGTCAGCAAAGCACTACTGAACAGATAAAACAGCTGAAATAGGTTTCTAAGGGACCCTGAAAATACTGCCTCATTGAACAGAGGCGGTGGGCCTGGAGTTCACACAACCGGCCATCAAGGCCCGTGCGATTCCTTTCTAGCACCCGCATCGACACACTCTTTCATGCAGCATCTCTCCCAGATGTGGATGAGGGTGCTTTACAGTGGAAGGTGATAATTAGCATCTATTTTCATTCTTCTAACGGACTGCCATGTTGTCAGACCGACTGGAATCTGACATTATTGTGCATCTTTTGTGCTGTGTATTATAACACGGTTCTGGGGTCTCTACACATAATACACATATCAGATTAGCTGGACATTTGACAGTCTCTAATGATGTTTTGGTAGGAGACCCTCTGAAAGTAAACCCTAAATGTGGTCTGCCATCTGCTGTTCACAAATAGACATGCATGCATTATTTTGAGAGATATGGTATGAATTTTAGTTTCTTTAAACTGATTACAGATCTGAAAGAATAAGGTTCATGCTGCATTTTCTTTTAAATGTTGTTTTGTTTTCATGAATAATTTAGCATGGCTGCTGTATGCTTAATTGCTGCCAGGAATGGATACTAGTTACAAGATAACACGTTAGAACTATTTGTCACAGACCATAATGCAGATGCAAGTATCATATTTGGTGCATTTAATATTTAAATGGTCTATTGTTGATTTATTGATATAACAAGATTGTATAGGCTCATGTTCACAGAAAACAAAACATGTCAGTGGTCACAACTGTGGGAAAACAAAAAAATGCCATGCGTTGATTTGTTTGATTAATCAAAAACTTGGATAACAAAATTTGCCTCACAATTGCCTGTTACTTAATTTTTTATATTATTAGGCTAACATTCTTTTGGGTCTTTAATCCTTTAGCCGTCACCCCCTTTTTGAGAATGGGGTTAAAGGGATAGTTCACTTTGAAATTAATTTTTGATAACTTTTAGCTTACCTCAAGGACATCCAAGATGTAGGTGTCTTTGTTTCCACAGTATTTCCAATTTTGACATTTTTCGGTCAAACCGTTGTTGTCTGTCAGTCATAATATAATGCAGGTTCCACCTCAAAGAGCATGCAGAGAGAAGTCCAAATTAAACATGATTTACTGACTCGTGAATGTAAGTACACACTGATAAGACACGAAACGAGCGGTTTGTGTGAGAAAACGAACAGTATTTATATAGATTTTTACCTCTGTCTGACTCTGAATCAGATGTCCAACTGAACCGTCTCCACACGTTACGCCGGAAGTGGTCACGCGTTGTTTACACGGAGATTTAAATGGTTGTAATTCAAGAATGCTTTGGGATATATATCCAAGTTTGGTATTGTTTTTGCTGAAAACACTTTAGAAAATGAAAGTATGATCAAATATAGCCTACTGTAGGCTACTACATATTTTTTATTTTATATAAAATACATATTTTACAAAGTATTTTTTACTCTAAAATAAAATTACCATAATATCAAAGCCATAAATCTAACCAAGTTATGTTCCAAATTTGAAGCTGATGTCACAAAAATTGAAGTTCCCATGAGATTTTGTTTAGGCGTAATACCAAAAATAGCCACTGGGTGCCATTGAATTCCATTGAATTTAATTGTATATATTCTGCCATAACAAATTAATAGATTTCTGTCCAAATATCAATTCTGTCACAAAATTTGGCCTTTCTTAGTCTAGATTAGAAAAGGTTTTGATCATAAATTATTAAATATAATAATGGGAATAAAAGGGGAGGAGCCTGATAAAATAATTTAGAGTACCGTTTCTATGAATTCTGAGTTCATAAGCTTTCATAAATTTTCAAATGTTATGATAACTACTAAAATATGTGATATAATAAAAAGACGATATATATATATATATATATATATATACATTTTTTTATTGAAAAATACTACATTATATGTTTTATAATGAACTTTTAGAATAAAAACAGAAGTTTCAATGATTAAAAGTGGGTGCATCGACTTTTTGTGACAAAGATCAGACCTCCAGTTATGATGCAGATTTTTTGAGGTGCACTCTTGTCATAAATTCATCAATTACTCTTCCTACATAATTTGTAACACAAAACAGAAGTCTTAGACCTTTCCAACGATATGTAATTTGTCATAATTATATTAGGATTTAATAGAAATATAGTGAAGTAAGTTAGGCGTCCCAGTAGCGGGTTGTGACAGTTAAGGGGTTAAGACCAACTGAGCCAATTTTTTCCACACTGTCAATGTTTTGCCTTACATAGAAATGTTATCATAGCTAGGAAATGGCTGACGGGATTTTCCAAATAAATAAATAAAATAAAATGCATGTAAATAAAATGCATAACATTTTTATATGGTTTATACTTTGGTTTCAGTTTGACTAAAATGACTGCATTTTACTGAAACCTTTACTGAACATGCAATCAAAAACTCAAAATGCAAAGCAACAAAAACACAAAATGAAGACTCGGAGTCATTTTCCGTGAGACGAACAGCTTTATACAATCATCTTTGCTGAAACAAAACAGAAAAACCCATGTGGAGCTCTGAAAGCTGTTATCCAATCAACAGTCACCAATTTCAGAGCCCGTGAACGGTGCGAAATTGAAGTTGTGCAGAAAGTCAAAAGCAGCAGCAGCTTTCTTGTAATGAACACCAGCAGATCTCAGTCGGAAGCGTCTGGGCTTTAGAAAGACAGGGTACGTTTAGAGAGTGTTCACACTTGGTTGAATTAAAACAAACTCTGCTGTGATTGCTCTGTTAATGCGATTCATAAATGTGTGAACTCGGACCAAAGACGTGCTACCCTAATCATATGATCTATGTTTCCCATCACAGTTCATTACAGGCATCAGAACCGTTTCTCCTCACAGCAAACCTTTGTTTGTGTGTGTGACGGAGGAGTTCCCGTATGTCTGTTAAAGATCACTTCATCTGGAAAGCATCTGCTGTTTACTAATATCTGATAGACGGAGTAGTTCACTTTTTAAAAACTTTTGCTGATAATTTACTCACCCCCATGTCATCCAAGATGTCCATGTCTTTCTTTCTTCAGTAGAAAAGAAATTAAGGATTTTGATGGAAACATTCCAGGATTTTCTCCATATAATGGACTTCAATGGGAACCAAACGGTTCAAGGTCCAAAAGACAAGTTCGTTGAATGAACCAATTGACACGAAAAAAGATTCGTTCATTTTGATGAACGAGTTCGAACAGAAGAGTAACGAACGCGCATCACAGAACAGAGCAAGGCGAGCATTATATAGAGAAAAATCCTGGAATGTTTTCATTAAAAACCTTAATTTCTTTTCGACTGAAGAAAGAAAGACATGGACATCTTGGATGACAAGGGGGTGAGTAAATTATCAGCACGTTTTTTTAAAAAGTGAACTACTCTTTTAATCTTTTCATACATATTAGACAAATCAGCAATGCATTTTCCTCTTCATACAACAACAAAAAGCATAAATGTGCTTATAACTCGTTTTAAACAGCCAGTGTAAAACAGCATTGTGAAAAAACTACTCTATCTAAAAAGTTAAATTAGGAGGAAAAATTGGGTGATTAAAAAGATATGCCTTTTAATATTATTTTAAATACATTTTATCTTTTTTTTTTTTTAAATCAAATAAAACATGGACAAAAGAGTGGTTGGGACAGTCTACAGCAGCCCTAAACCTTTGGTACATTCAGCACAAATATCAGCACGGCACTGCAAAAGCCTTAATACAAAGAACAAAGGTCTATCTGGTTTGTATTAATGACCTAGCCAGCCAAAATAGAGTCGACAAAGAGGATATGCTTGTATTTTTCTTCGGGTTGCCATTCCAAAATGTGATGGACCTCATGGCATTAGTTTTCCCTGGAAGCGATATTAATTCCTCACACAAAATTCAGATTACAAAACATTCAGAACTAGAGTACAATCCAGCGTTCCTCAGCCACGGCAGTGTTTCATAAAAGGCTGGGTTGAGTTAACGCGAACGGAAAGGTCTGGAATGTATTGATATGGGTTTTTTGTGGGCTCGATAATCCATCTTCAAATCATACAAGAAAACACGGTCACACTTGAGAACAGAGTAAAAAAAGGGGGGGAAAACATTTAAGAAAGACATTCAAGTCCTCTATATGAGGATATGGAAATACGGATCACAATGCAAATAGGGTCCGTTTTAATTTCACGTCGACTTATTTCGTGGGTATATGTGACCATTCTCTCTCTTTCAAAATCTGAGGACAACAGAAAGGCCAGAGTTGGACTAGAAGGTCATAAAATCATCTTCTATTGTTCATTTTTTATCATTTGCACATAGTGCTCACATTCATGACGATGTAGTGCGTCTGATAGTGCACTTTAGTGTGACATGCCCTTTGAAAAACGCCGCGTGTGAGAGTATATGCACAACCAAATTCTGGACAGAAAACATATGAGACTGACTCGTGTATAAATATGACAAAAAAACATTTCGATTCAATATACGAGGCGGCGCTGTCGTGCGTGATCTGAGACGTCTGAAAAAGCACACGACAATATTTGTTCATTTACGCTGCATTTTGATGCTTCGTAGAAAGTCTTTTTACAGATAAAAAGAGTGAGAATATCAAAGTCCTTTGGGTTTGTTTTCATTTTAATCCGTTAGGAAGTAACTCAGCTTTGCGTTTTGTCTGGTCACGTCCTCCTCAATGCATCCAGAGCCAACAGATGAAGAAGAAAAAAGTCGCGTTTGCGTCTGAGAAACATTCAGAGAACACGTGATTGATTGTTTTCTGTTCGGCTCATTTCCGAGGAAGTATGTTTAAGAGATGCGGTGTACAAAATATACGTCTAAGTGCTTCTGGTTTCTTCCTTTGCTGTTCTAGACGCGTTGAGGAAATGGATTTGATCAGCTCAAAGTGCAAAGGTCAACATTCACTCCAAACCGAAAGTGCTGGTCTCCTCCACTGCCGTCAGCATCTTCTCGTACAGCATGGAGAAGGAGGGATACGGGGGGAGATCCAGACGATTGAAACATGTGTGAGCCCTACAAAGACAAGTAAAGACATTTTCTCACCATATACATTTCCATCCACACAATTTTTAAGTGACTGTATTATGAATTGCCAGATTGTGCCATCTTGTGGATCACATTAGCAATGACATCTGTGGCAAAAAAAAAAAAAAAGATTTTTTTTTTTTACAAATGTGCCAGTATTGGACTTCATCCACTAACTTTGATTTATCTGGGTAGATTGTTGTAAATTGTACACTGTAAAACAATTCTAACCTACTTTTCTGCTTTGAATTGGCTATTAATGTACGAATTTAACAAAAAAATATTTACAGTAATATTTATATTTAATTTTAGTAGAAGCTTAATAATTTGTTTTGAGTTTTAATATATAACATTGGACACATCAGGCTTTTATTTATTTTTTTTTTTTTTTTTTTTAAATACAAAGATTTTGTTCAGTGATCAGCATATTAGAATGATTTCTGAAGGATCATGTGACACTGAAGACTGGAGTAATGATGCTGAAAATTCATTTTTACATCACAGGAATAAATTACATTTTAAGATGTATTCAAATAGAAAGTAGTCATTTTAAATCATAACAATATTTTACAATATTATTGTTTATTTTTTATTAAATAAATGCTGCCTTGGTTAGCATAAGAGACTTCTTTCAAAAATATTTAAAAAAAAATCTTTATTGGTTATATTTTATTATACATGTATAAAACGCTATATTTTAAAAAAAGACTACTCTAAATATATCTTAGTAAAATGAATATATTTATTTTATTTTTTATAGTGGGCATAATATATAACGAAATGCATTACAATGATGACTAAAGTTAAACAAATTAATTTTATGAAGTTTAATGAGTTTATAGACTTTAACTCATTAAAGACCTTTAATCTGACAGACGGACTAGATATGATTTCATGGGGTCTTGAAATGCATTTCAAACCTTCATATAATTATTACATGATTAACTAAATGTATTTTTCCATGTACATTTCTGAAATGCACTTTCTTTAAAACTGCTTTGAAACAATATGTATTGTAAAAAGCGCTATACAAAAATTTTTTTAGGGCTGTCAAACGATTAATTGCGATTAATCGCATCCAAAATAAAAGTTTGTGTTTACATAATATATGCGGGTGCACTGTGTGTGTATATAAATACACACACATGCTTGTAAGAAATATTTTCATGTATATACTGTATATAGATTTATATATAATTTATATTGTATATAAATATTTTATATATAAATAATATTTTTTTCTTAAATATACATGCATGCATGTGTGTGTATTTATATTATATACAAAATAATTATACACAGTGCACCCACATATATTATGTAAACACAAACTTTTTATTTTTGTATGCGATTAATCGTTTCACAGCCCTACACATTTTAATTGAATTGAATTGAATATACAGGATCTTGTGTGAAAGAAAGAAACATCACCTGGGCAGAGACGTGATTTTCCCCCATTTCTCTACACAGAAGCGTCGCGGTCCGTTGCTGCCCCTGAGGGAGGCAAAGCCTTCGTACGGGATACTGGACGTCCCGGTCACGAACTGAGACAACAGAGACATTTCAGCCACGGGACTGAGTACACACAATTGTACACCGTTTTATAAAAAGAGCTCGCATTTCTCTTTCAACACTCACCTGGAGCAGTCTGAGTCTCTGCTCATTGTTGAATCGCTCCACTGCCGCCCAGAACCAGCGAATCACGATGTGGTTGTCATGGTAACCTGGAGGAAAACCCAATAAACTTGTTCCAATAAACTCAAAATGTGACCAGTGTGGATGAAAGCCCACAGTCTACCCATGCGGATAAAATGTCACCCATAAATCAGAAACTTCACATCTTGATAGCATGATCTGCCTATGTTTTACCACAGGTTTAGACACTGGTAATATCATAAATGTAGTAATCATATATTACTGCTGTAGTGAACCTGTCAGCCTGTTGTTACCTCCTCTGTACTCGGTGTTGTTCCTCCAGTCTCCCAGATCAATCTCTGCAGTTCCTGCGATCACCAGCTCCAGCTCGCGCGCGTCGAACACCGACACCAGCCGCGCATCCACAACCTGCAGCAAACACATCCGTCATACAGGTCAGAACACACCTGCTTTATCACATACGTTCTTCTGAAACACTGTCATTGGGTCTAAATACTTCTAAAAATCCTTCTAAATATAAAAGAATAACAGAATCTATGACTATAGAACTATAATGATAACGGCACAGTGAAGCAATATCGCTTAAATCACAATCAGAATGATTGATAAATGATAAAAATGTTGACAGCCAATCAGAATCCATCCTGCCTTAAAGAGATGGAGCATTATTATGACTAAACTTAGAATAAACACAATGATATCTGATGAGGATGTGTTATAGTTATTCTTGGTGTGCACATTTTCACAGATGAAACTCATCAATCATACATTAAACCTACTGAGCTATATTCATTAATTCATCTTCTTTCTCATTTCATTCAAGGACACACTAAATAATTTAGGATTTTAAAAATACATTTTCATTCCTCATTGGCCGACTTGTTCTAATTTAAGGTAACGAAAGCGACTGATGAATTTTAGAATAAAGAGAGAAAAATCTATATAAGAAGAGTCTTTTAAAAGTTCCAGAGAAAAACATGCTTGCTTCTGTACTTGCTTTTTTCAGTTGATTTTCATAATGGGAGCAGACATTATAATCATATAATGACCAGGCTAACTGAAGAAATTAATAAAAAGCTAACATTTTGACCATTTAAAAATCTTTTAATATTATATTAATATTAAGTTTTTAATATTATATTAATATTATGGCATGTAGTTGTAACGCTACTTGTATTAAAATAGTATAAAATAGTTTATTTAATATTAATTATCATTTGTAAATCTAACATTATTAAACAATATTAATAAACAATATTTAATAAATATATCTCTTACCATATTGACAATTATGTTAAAGAAAGAGTGACAAAATATGTGATTTTATGAAATATGTGATTTAGGATTTCTTCAAATACACTACCATTCAAAAGTTTGGGAATTTCTGCATTTGCATTTATTTGGTTAATAATATATAAAAAAACAGTAATATTGTAGATATATTAAAATATAAAAATAATTGTTTTCTATTTTAATATATCTTAAAATATAATTTCTCCCATTACCAAACCATACCATTACCTCCAGTCTTCAGTGTCACATGATCCTTCAGGATTCATTGTATATTTTTTCAGGATTTTTTATGAATACAAAAATGTGAACTTTTTATAACAATGTAAGTCTTCACTGTTATATTTGATCAAATTAATGCGTCCTTGCTGAATAAAAGTATGAATTTATTTAAACAAAATATTTTTTTACTGACCCCAAACTACTGAACCGAAATGTACTAGCAAGACTTCCGGCTATATTTAAGTGAGCGAAAGCGTTTGCAACCAAAATTGTATAATAACCCACATCTATGAAACAGAAATTCAATAAAAGCGCATTCTGGAAAATCTCAGGGCAATTCTACATGGCAGAAGTGGCATGTTTATGTCTTGTTCTTAAATAATGATCAGTGAGGGAAAGCATCCGGAGTGTTGATTCGATTTCAGTACCTCATAAAATCCTCGCACGAGACTCTCCGTCTGTTGGACGACACCACGCTCTATACGCCACTTCACCATGCGCTCGATGTACTCCTTCTTATTCTTCTCTGACACAGGGATATTGGCACCACCAGTCTTCAGCTCACGCTCTGTGATCTAACACACACACACACACACATGCTTCTGTGAGACAATGGCGAGATGTTGTGCACACAAACAACAGTTTATAGTCACACACTGACCTGTCCGAACACCTCCTCGTTGACGGTGAAGGTCAGGTCCAGCATGTCCTCTATGTCATTGTCCTTCATCCACTGAAGACTCTGATGAAACTCCTCATCAAGATACTCCAGATCACTCAGATCACACGGACTGCATACAGAGGTATCAACAGACATCAAATCATGCTCGTGATCTATGTAATCATACAGAAGTAATCATAAGACTAGGTCAAGCACAAGTACATTTATCCTGAATCCTGTCATTACTATGTAAGGGTTAATGCCCGACGAGGTGTCCATTGTCAGGTTTTAATGGACGACGGCGAGGCGTAAACCGGCCGACGCGCAGCGGAGGACGGTTGCCTCCGCCGAAGTCCATTAAAACCTGACAATGGACACCTCGGAGGGCATTAACCCGCTTATACCATGGTCACTTGCCAAATAAAACATTAGTTTATATTTTAATTAGGCTAAACCTAGTTTTTACAAATAATAACTTGCCTTGCCTGCCTGACTGTTTATTTAGCAACCGGAGATATAGTCCGCTTAGCTCGTATCCCTTCAGGTTCACAAATGCATTTTTTTTTCATGAAACACAAAGGTAGGCATAGTTTTTTTTTTTTATTACACATAAAACAATTAATCAAACAACAATAAGAAAACAATTAGCTCTGATCTCCAGCGATTTGCGCTAACGTTAATAACGTTATAGAGGGCAATAAATTAATCAGATCAAAGAGAGGGTCATTTGCCTCAGGCTCCTTAGGCTTGAAACGCTGTAACGTTCAGCCTTCTCCTGCCTTGGTTGTCTGGACAGCTGGTAAAACTCCCGCAGGGTCTCATTCAGGGGTGCGTTTCCCGAAAGCATCGTTATCCAACTATGGTCGCAAGTTACGTCGTTACCAATAGAGTTCAATCAATGGAGAGAGCAGCAGCGGTGTAATTTTCTCCGTTTTATTTACATTTTTTCTTTCTTCAGCAGCATACCAGTCGTCAAAGTTGCATATTCTCCATAAATGTTAAAAGAAATAGCACGAAGTCGCTCATTGTTGTATTAGGCTATAATATCTAACGTTAGATGATAGAGCATGTGACTGCCTGTTGCTATGGTTACTCACAGCCGTTGTAGCAGCGCATTTATTTATTATTTCGAATGGTAAACAGGCAGTTTCACCAGAACTACTTTACTAGGTGTCCTCTATCACTTTTTATGACACCCTGCAGCCAATCAGAATCGAGTATTCACCCAGACCATGGTATAAATATATATAATAATATATATATATATATATGAAGAGTTCAGATGCAAAAGCCTCTAAATGCCATTTGAAATTTTCTTCTTTAATGATGATTTTTATCAAACTTGTATATTTAAGTTCAGTGATTTCACTTTAATGGCAATGATAATTACCTATTAATTGTTATTTAAGTGAAATTACTGAACTTAAATATACAAGTTTGATAAAAATCATCATTAAAGAAGAAAATTTCAAATGGCATTTAGAGGCTTTTGCATCTGAACTCTTCATATATATAACAACATTAATTATTAATAAAATATTTTTCAATATTGATAAAAAATATTTGAATACAAGTAGTTTTATGCCAAACCTTGATGCGAAATATTTTATAGGAAATTATTATAATTAATATATATATATATATTTGTGAAGGGCAATTTTTTATTTTTTTATTTTTTGTTAGTATTTTTTAATTTACAATTACTCGTGAAATCACATTCAAATAACATGTTATTTATAGCAAAAAAAAAAAGACATTAATTTACTAAAATCTCTACCTAAAAACATATCAGAAATGGGCTTTGCCACTCACATTCGCAGTAGGCCTTTGTAGAAGGGTCGCGTGAAGAAGGCATCCAGCAGGTATTGATGGATAAGAGCGAGACCCAGAATACGCCCACTAAACCGAAACCTGACAACAGAATTGGGATATATTTCTGTTAGTTAAGTCTAAGATAAAAAAAGTCATCTTGAAGGCACAGATCGAGCCAAGTACATTCTAAATATTGGTTTTATATTGGATGTGCATTGAAGCTTCACATGTGCCATGACACAGTAAAATGAGCACTCACCACTCATGATGGTTGTCGACGAAGGCAGACATGGGGCTGATCTGGACGGTGTAGGTGTCATTGGCTGAATACTCAAACAGGCCATAGTATGGGTTAAAAAGCTCCCGTGACACCAGAAAGAAAAACTCTCGTGATGGGCCACTGTAGTCCAGTCTGAACGGGAGCAAAAAATAAACAAACGTGTTGAGAATCAATGATATATATATATATATATATATATATATATATATATATACATATGTGTGTATACAGTGCAACAACAGGCTTTAACTTCTGCTTCAATAAATCATACAGTGGTATATTAGACTATTTGGTCAAATAGATTTTTAACAATGACAATGATATATTAATACATGTCATATGATGTAAAGTCTGGTTATCTTTTCAAAAAAAGTGGTAACACTGACCCCTCTTCTCCAACGAAGCTGACGTAAAGTTTACTTCTCTGTAGATCTTTGCGGGAGTAACACATGATCTGATTGAAGGCGTCCTCCAGTAGATGATCTCTGCGGATTATCAACCTAAAACAAGCGCATGTTAGCATGAGTGTGAGAATGTGTTATAAATCAAGTCCTCGGGGTACCCTACAGATGCTCACTTGACTTTGCCTGGACCCTGTCCGTAGCCTTTAGTCTCCAATTTGCGATAGAAATTCCGAAGTTTGGCTTCAAAGTCCCGTTTGTACGGCGCAGGGGCCCGAGCGTTGGCTCGTTGTGTACCTGAGAGGAAGAGGTCATAGTTACAAGAGAGTTTGCTGAGAAAAGCGACTCTGACAAGAACCAAAATCAGCTTTTATCCAACATAGATAAATGTGTATAAAATGTATAGATTATATGGAACAATTCAGGCATTATTAGTCACATGTAATGGCTCTTTACAAATGAGACTTATTATAACTGAGATCTCCATATGGATGGATGGATGGATGGATGGATGGATGGATGGACGGAAGGATGGACGGATGGATGGATGGTCAGATAGACAGACTGGATGGATGGATGGGAGGATGAATGGATGAATGGATGGACGGTCAAACAGATGGATGGATAGATGGATGGATGGACGGTCAGACAGACAGACTGGATGGATGGGATGATGAACAGGAGGATGGATGGATGGATGGTCAGACAGACTGGATGGGTGGATGGATGGAGGATGAACAGGAGGATGGATGGATGAATGGATGGGAGTATGAACAGGAGGATGGATGGATGGATGGATGGATGGATGGATGGATGGATGGATGGATGGATGGGAGGATGAACAGGAGGATGGATGGATGGATGGTCAGACAGACTGGATGGATGGATGGATGGATGGGAGGATGAACAGGAGGATGGATGGATGAATAGATACATAGACGGAGAGGATGGACAAATGGACGAATGGATGGATGGATGGATGGATGGATGAATAGGAGGAAGGATGGATGGATGGATGGATGGGGAGGATGGATGGATGGATGGATGAATAGGAGGAAGGATGGATGGATGGATGGATGGGAGGATGGATGGAAGGATGGATGGATGGATGGATGGATGGATGGATGGATGGATGGATGAATGGACAGATGGTCAGACAGACAGACTGGATTGATGGATGGATGGATGGATGGATGGATGGATGAATGGAGGATGGATGGATGGATGGATGGGAGGATGGATGGATGGATGGATGGATGGATGGACAGATGGTCAGACAGACAGACTGGATGGATGGATGGATGGATGGATGGATTGGTGGAGGGTCAGACAGACAGACTGGATGGATGGATGGATGGATGAATAGATAGATAAACGGAGAGGATGGATGGATGGAGATTTTAAAGGGTAAAAAGGAATCAGAATGGTTTGCAAGCGAGCAGAAAAAGCACTATCTATCCCAGAACCTGTAACCAGCGGACAGTGTAATCCTTGAGTGTCAGCGGTGACTAAAGACAGATCAGGGTTTGTTAGAGCATGATTCCCTCTGGCACCGTGATGTCCGCCACACTCCAAACAGAGTTGTGAAAATCAGAGTGTCAGTATCACGGTTTAAAAGCAGCCTGTAGGGATTATCCAAAAACCCTAGACTCCAACCACACACCAAATCCCAAATAGCGGATTTGATGGATTTGGCAGCCAACTCAAAAAATACCCAGGAAAACTGGTCGACTGAAGTCAAGCTCTACAACCAAACCAAAGCAATGCTGTGGAAGGATGGCTAGACCATCAAATCAATTTTTTTTTTTAATATTGTAATAGTATTAATAATATGAGAGTGTGAGGAACTGACCAGGAGAGTTCTGAGGGGAGGAGACCGGAGACCCTCGAGGTGATTGACAGTAGCTGGGGTGCAGTAAGGCATGAGGTGGCACATACGACATCACTTCCTCTTCAAACAAGCTGCAGCGAGAAAAAGAGACAAAGATTGTTTGTGTTTGAAGGCAAACTCAAGATTTCTTAGATACATTTGCCTGAGAAGCCAAATTGCATAACATATCAATTACTCATTTAATGATTTTTTTTTTTTCAAGAACGTATTGTGAATTTCAGTTTAGTTTTGAGCTTAACCCTTGACATATGAAATAATAGAACAGTTTATTAAACATTTAGTCCAAATCTCATGTGTTTTTTTTTGTGTGGTATGATGTTTGATACATCAGGGTTTTATGGCTCATTTAGTATGATATAGGAGAATATGGAGCTTTATATATTTTCCAGGAATATTTTGAGGGGTAACGTTTTATTCAGAGGCACAAACAGAGAAAGATATGAAATTTGGTGCAGCTGTTGATATTCAAATAGCCAAAAAGATAACATGCTGAAAGCCTGTAATGTAAATAAATCAATGAGATCTTATACATTTACATGAAATGTATATAAAAATCATCATATGACTAAGTAAAATTATGTTTAAATGCTTGGTTTTTGATCAAAGATCAAAACATATAATGTAATGCAATATAATAATGATGCAACTATAAGTATAAGTATGTATAAGCATTAGGGCTGTCAAATGATTAATCGTGATTAATCGCATCCAAAATAAAAGTTTGTATTTCCTTAATATATGTGGGTGCACTGTGTATAATTATTTTATATATATATAAATACACACACATGCTTGTATATATTTAAGAAATATGTTCATGTATATACTGTATATAGATTTATGTATAATTTATATTATATATAAATATAAATATTTCATATATAAATAATATTTTTTTCTTAAATATAAATTCTGATTCACAAACCTTCAAGGACTTCAAGGACCCATGAGAACCCTGAAATAAACATTTCACAAAAGCCTAATGGAACATTTTAACATGATTTTTCTATAAAATTAAACAAAAGTAAGGATAAACTAAACTAAATGGATCAACTAAAGTTGCTTTTTAAGGGGTCATCTTGAAATTTTGCCAAAAATATAAAAGTTGAGCCACCGTGCCGCCTCGTTTTTACAATTACATAAAAATGTTAAATGTGTTAAAAAGTATAATCAGATGACAAAACACATATAGTAGATTGTGTAGAACAGGTTTCTTAGAAAAGTTTTGATTATGTTGATAGGGCCTTAGAAATGTGCAAATTTGGTTAAACCTAACAAAACGTATTATTTCATATTTTCTTACATCCATTTTTGCAGGGTAAATTCACAGAGTACCTGAGTAAAATCACCAAGTCTGCATCGCTGGAGAGGCGCGCTAAACCCGAAGCTCCCTCATTGCGAATAAACTGCACCTTCTCCCTGTGGATTAGAAATGTCAACATTTTCATAACCAATAGCTCAGAACTGAGGTTTGATTTGTAATATTTCTTTGAGTCTCACCTGAGTGAGTGATTCCTAATGAGCTCAGGCTGCCTCTCCTGAAGGATCTCATATACGTTCGGCTGCCGCAAAAATGCCACTATTTTATCATTGTAGGCTATAAAGAGAAGAGCAAAGCAATTGGTGAAATGTCAAATAAAGATCCTTCAAAACTCCACATTTTGATAAAACATGCTTTATGAAGGATTTAACAAGATGAAAAAATCTAGTTCTGTCTAAAAACTTCCTGATGAAGCTTAGCTTAAACCGGCTCACCGACAGGAACGACATCTGGACACTGGTTGCGATTGGCTGAAAAGGTGTTGGGGGGGCGTGGCAGTACAGCGGGTCCAGCATGCCGTGGGTCATCGCCCACCTGCAACAAAAACAAAATAGGAAAAGACCACTACATCCTCACATCCACAGGACGTCCCACAAGAAAACATTAGTTTACTGCAGAAATACTGTATGTTAATATTGTAGCATCTAACATAAATGTTTTTGTTTATTATAAAATATATGTGTGTGTACATATATATTTGGGCTGTCAAACGATTAATCGCGATTAATCGCATCAAAAATAAAAAGTTTGTGTTTACAAAATATATGTGGGTACACTGTGTATAATTGTTTTGAATATATATAAATACACACATATGCATGCATTTTTTATTTATATATAATATAAATTATATATAAATCTATTTACAGTATATACATGAAAATAATTTTTAAATATATATAAGCATGTGTGTATTTATATTTATATATATATATATATATATAAAATAATTAAACACACTACACACATATATTATGTAAACAAAAACTTTTATTTTGGATGCGATTAATCGCGATTAATCGTTTGACGGCACTAGTGTATATATATATATATATATATATATTTATTTAAATGTGTATATGTATAATTTATACACACTCATATTATATAAACAAACTTTTATGTTAGATTTGAATAATCATGATTAATCAGTTTGACAAGAATTATACACACACACACACACACAGTCAAGTCAATTTTATTTGCACAGCGCTTTTCAACATATATATATATATATATATAAATAATAGGCTTCAGTTGCTTTTGCATAATTCACCGGATATGTGCTCCCTAGTGAGTGTTCTTTAAAGATGAAAGCTTCATTAAGGGCCCTGTGACTAAAGATCTGACAGCTCTTTTGCTAAAGCTGAGTGGATTGTAAAACTTTCCCTGGCCTTTATTCCCCAGGTGTTTATATAAGCAGAGGGACTTTTTAATTAAGTGAGCTCATTTGCATTTTATATTATGAAGACACAGAGGATTTAACGATTAGTGGAATAATATTTAGACACAATATGTTTACATGCATCCACATATGGTCCACTGACAAACGCACTCACACAAGGGATTGTGGGTGGACTGATGTGAAAATGACACGGTGCATGCTGGGACACAGCGGAGGCCGATGCTGTGAAATTAATAAGCATGTCTAAAGAGGCCTGAGAGGGCGATCTGTTCTCCACACGGCCCGACGTGACAGAAGATCAGATTCCCTAATGAGAAACCTGCTGAGAATATTTTATCCTATAAAACTAAAGATATTTTCATTAGAATATCTGATTACTGTCACATGCTTAGCATTTTATTATCAGTTAAAGGGGTACTCCACTTTTTTTGGAAATAGGCTCATTTTACAACTCCCCCAGAGTTTTACCGTTTTTGAATCCATTCAGCCGATTTTCTGATATTTAGAAGAATAATATATCAGTAACCAGACAGTTTCGGGTCTCATTGACTTCCATAGTAGGAAAAAAAATATGCTCTATGGAAGTCAATGGGACCAGAAACTGTCTGGTTACTGATATATTCTTCTAAATATCAGAAAATCGGCTGAATACATTTGAAAACGGTGAAACTCAACTGTTTAACTCTGGGGGAGTTGTAAAATGAGTATATTTCCAAAAAAAAGTGGAGTATCCCTTTAAATAAAGGCTTTTGTGATACACTACCATTCAAAAGTTATTATGCTTATGCTCACTAAGACTGCATTTATTTGATCAAACATACAGTACAAACTGTAACATTGTGAAGTGTTTTCTATTGTAATGTATTTTAAAATGTATTTAATCTGTGACGGTAAAGCTGAATTTGTAGTATCATTCGTCTTTGTTGTCCCATGATCCTTCTGAAATCATTCTAATATGCTGATTTGCTGCTCAAGAAACATATCTTATTATTAGTGTTGAAAACAGTTGTGCTGCTAAATATTTTTGTGGAAACTGAGATATATTTACTTTTTTGGGGATTTTTTAATGACTAGAAAGCTTAAAGAACAACATTTATTTGAAATATAATTCTGTACTTATACTACTCACTTTCTTAAAAAAAGAAAGTATATAAATCTTACCCTAAACGTTTGGACAGTAGTGTAAATTTAGTGTCAATGATGAATTCATATGAAATCAGTTGATTTAAAATCAATTTAATGCATTGATTCCTTCAAAAACAAATCAGCTTACTGACCCCAAATCTTTGAACAGTAGTTTATATGAACTACATTTTTGCAAAAATCGCCAGGCGGTGGCTAGTGTGTTGTGTGTAGTTGCCCAAATCAAAAGTCTTAAAGTTGAATTTAATTCAGAGTTTTACAATGAGCTTGACTAGAAAAGGCTCACCTCCCCTGCGCTGTGGCTGCGCTGGCGGCTGAGGTGCTGGCGGTGGGCCAGGAGGATGCTGGGACGAGCGCTCTGCAGGGGCAGGCGTGGGTCTATGAAGGTGGTGGCCCTGCAGTTATGGTCCACGAAGAAAGGCTGAGGGAAAAACATAATCATGTCAAGCTTTGCCAGCAGCAAGTAGGCCGAAGGGTTTAAAAGCACAAACGTGAAGCTCATATTCATGTTAAAGCACTTAGATGAAAACACTAACACATGAAATATTTAAAGTGAGTGTTACGGTTGTACTTTCAAAGTATATTTTAAACATTCATTTGCAGTACCACCTGCTTTCCTGCTAAGCTTCCATTATAAGCATATTACTGTAAAGCACTTCCTGATAAGAGGTCATTGACAACAAGCCACTGATGAGTAAAATATGAATTCACTTATGATACATTTTACATTACATTTACATTTAGCTGACGCTTTTATCCAAAGCGAATTACAATTGCTATATATGTCAGAGGTCGCACGCCTCTGGAGCAACTAGGGGTTAAGTGTCTTGCTCAGGGACTTGTATTAGTACATATTAGTAAATATGCTGAAAATAATTCAAAATATAACTCTTTTTTTATGTAAAAATAAATGGACTAAATGTAAAAAAATAGTCTAATAGAGAAAAGAAAGAAGGACACTGAATGATACACACACACACACACACACACATATATATATATATATATATATATATATATATATAGTTCAGATGCAAAAGCCTCTAAATGCTATTTGAAATTTTCTTCTTTAATGATGATTTTTATCAAACTTGTATATTTTATTTCATTAATTTCATTTAAATAACAATTAATAGGTAATTATCATTGCCATTTAAGTGAAATTACTGAACTTAAATATACAAGCTTGATAAAAATCATCATTAAAGAAGAAAATTTCAAATGGCATTTAGAGGCTTTTGCATCTGAACTCTTCATATATATACACTTTTTATTTATTGATTTATTTTATTTAGTATTAAATACATTAAATTGATTAAAAGTGACAGTTAATATATTTTATAATGTTATGTTATAAAAGATTTCTATTAAAAAATGTTTCTTGAGCATCAAATCAGCATATTAGAATGATTTTGACACGGTGACACTGAAGACTGGAGTAATGATGCTGATATTAATAATATTTTAATATTATAATTATAAATTAATTCAATAGATATAATATTTCAAAATATTACTGTTTCTACTATATTGTTTAATCAAATACATTCATCCTTGGTGAGCATTTGCTATCAGCAACCTTTTAATTATTCCACACTTTTGAATGGTACATAGAGAGAGATTATAATTTTTGTCCATATTTTATTTTATTTAGAAATTAAAGTTAAAAGCAGGAGGAAGAAAATTAGAGTGATATCCAGAACGTGAACACAGAACACAGAAGAGATGTTTCCAGACCTTTCCCGTGTGGTCGTGTTTCATTTCCCAGCCTCGCGGAAGATCCAGCTGTTTGTTGGCGAACATGTTGAGGAAGGCAACCAGGTCTCGATTGTGCTGGTAGCGCTCAAAGTGGTGCGTGTCCCGTCGCACTTTGCTGATCATGTGTTTTAGACATGTGTTACTTGTAAACATGCGGTAGGCACTCTGAGAAAGGAAAGGCAAACAGTCAAGAGAGTTTCATACCGTGTTTAAGCAACGCTAAACTTTTACAACACAGCATTTCCCAAAATAAATGACAAAACCAGATGACTGGTTAGTGAAACACACTTGTTTTTATGGCATCATTGTCACGATTCTGAACAAGATTTCGCTAATTATGTGACGAGAATAAAAAGAATTGACTGACAAGATGATGGTGGAGGATTTGGTATGCAATAGAGCGTCATTGACAAATATTTTGTCTGGTAAAATGCGAATGTTTTTTTACTGGTTTAAGCAAGTTTATACACTCACCGGCCACTTTATTAGGTACCCCATGCTAGTAACGGGTTGGACCCCCTTTTGCCTTCAGAACTGCCTCAATTCTTCGTGGCATAGATTCAACAAGGTGCTGGAAGCATTCCTCAGGGAGTTTGGTCCATATTGACATGATGGCATCACACAGTTGCCGCAGATTTGTCGGCTGCACATCCATGATGCGAATCTCCCGTTCCACCACATCCCAAAGATGCTCTATTGGATTGAGATCTGGTGACTGTGGAGGCCATTTGAGTACAGCGAACTCATTGTCATGTTCAAGAAACCAGTCTGAGATGATTCCAGCTTTATGACATGGCGCATTATCCTGCTGAAAGTAGCCATCAGAAGTTGGGTACATTGTGGTCATAAAGGGATGGACATGGTCAGCAACAATACTCAGGTAGGCTGTGGCGTTGCAACGATGCTCAATTGGTACCAAGGGGCCCAAAGAGTGCCAAGAAAATATTCCCCACACCATGACACCACCACCACCAGCCTGAACCGTTGATACAAGGCAGGATGGATCCATGCTTTCATGTTGTAGACGCCAAATTCTGACCCTACCATCTGAATGTCGCAGCAGAAATCGAGACTCATCAGACCAGGCAACGTTTTTCCAATCTTCTATTGTCCAATTTTGATGAGCTTGTGCAAATTGTAGCCTCAGTTTCCTGTTCTTAGCTGAAAGGAGTGGCACCCGGTGTGGTCTTCTGCTGCTGTAGCCCATCTGCCTCAAAGTTCGACGTACTGTGCGTTCAGAGATGCTCTTCTGCCCACCTTGGTTGTAACGGGTGGTTATTTGAGTCACTGTTGCCCTTCTATCAGCTCGAACCAGTCTGGCCATTCTCCTCTGACCTCTGGCATCAACAAGGCATTTCCGCCCACAGAACTGCCGCTCACTGGATGTTTTTTCTTTTTCGGACCATTCTCTGTAAACCCTAGAGATGGTTGTGCGTGAAAATCCCAGTAGATTAGCAGTTTCTGAAATACTCAGACCAGCCCTTCTGGCACCAACAATCATGCCACGTTCAAAGTCACTCAAATCACCTTTCTTCCCCATACTGATGCTCGCTTTGAACTGCAGGAGATTGTCTTGACCATGTCTACATGCCTAAATGCACTGAGTTGCCGCCATGTGATTGGCTGCTTAGAAATTAAGTGTTAATGAGCAGTTGGACAGGTGTACCTAATAAAGTGGCCGGTGAGTGTATACCGGTGTGAAAATGTTCTCACCATGACATCCATACCTGTGGGTAAAAAAAGTGTGAATATTTAATGTGTTTGGAGACTTACAGGGTTGGAATGCAGTACGGTGAAGAAATCTGGGCTGGTGAGAAACTTGGCGCTGGGGGACTGAAGCAGCAGAGACAACCGGGAGCGAGAGCTAGTGGGCCCGACCACACCGTCCCGACGGTACTCTGAAACAGAGGACAGCTTATATGTCTGTTGGGTTAAAACAAAAGATCTTTTTTTTCTCCCTCTATTCTACAACGAGACTCATATGCTGTACGAGCAGGGCATTTCTATTGTGAGAGAGTACCAGGTATGGAGTGATGCAGAAGATCAGTGTCGTCTGAAGGCATCTCTGCAGCCTGTTCGTCTGTCCTCTCATTGGTTATTGTCCTACGAATACTCTGATACCTGAACAAATATGGCATATTTCTCATTAATAATTTTGTACAAGGAAAATTATACTTTATTCTTCATAAATATAATAAAATAATATTTCGGTTATTTATTAGCTTACTCTGCACAGTTTTACATAAATAAAAATCCAATAATTTACTAATATTAAGTAGGGCTGTCAAACGATTAATCGCGATTAAACGCATCCAAAATAAAAGTTTGTGTTTACATAATATATATATATGGGTGCACTGTGTATAATTATTTTATATACAGTATATAAATACAAACACATGCTTGTATATTTTTAAGAAATATTTTCATGTATATACTGTATATATATTTATATATAATTTATATTATATATAAATATAAATATTTTATATATAAATAATATTTTTTTCTTAAATATACAAGCATGTGTATGTATTTATATATATATACAAAATAATTATACACAGTGCACCCACATATATTATGTAAACACAAACTTTTATTTTGGATGCGATTAATCGCGATTAATCATTTGACACCCCTAATATTAATCATAATTTATATATATATATATATATATATATATATAAAAATTACTTATAATATAATTGCATTTGTTAACTTAATAATAAGTATCAAGTCATGAATCATAAACGTTATTTTTAATTTTATTTTGAATAAATTATATATATATATACAGTATATTTATATATTTCAATATGATATAAACATTTTTCAATATAATATTAAAATATTAAGCAGCACAATTGAAAAAACATTTTTTCTTTGAGCAAAAAATCAGCATATTAGATTATTAATTTAATTTAATTAATTTAATAAAATGGTGTAAACAAATCAAATGAATGATGCTGCATTAATTGAAATTATTAATCATTTATTTTATTTAGTAATATTATTTGTTTACATGATTTGCACTTACTATTTTACTTTGTGCCATACCTGTGAATTATGAAATAAATACTTATTGCAAGCCATAAAACTGTATTTTCCATTATTTGTAGTAATGAAGGGAATATTCCACATATGTGATGGCGCAAAGAGTAAAAAAAAAACATCCTGACTACCGTTTTTACTGACATTTTGTGCTTGACGATCTTTTAATTTTAGATGCTGCGCACATCTATGGCACAATTGCTTTTGCAATTAAAATGAATGCCAATAAACCAATAAAGGAAATCACAGGAGGGAGACAACGCACGAGAGATGTTTTGATAGAGCATGATAATGGCAGAACAGATTAGGCAGCTGGGGTGACATTTTTAAAGAGCTGTGAGGATTAATAAATGGCATTTCGGACTCGGATAAATCCCAAGATATCAGAAGTTAAGGTCACTGTGTGCTCAAAACACTATCAGAACTCAGTCTAATCACAGCTGATTTCATGGCATGTTGATAGATGGTGAGAACAGAGCGTGCACGTGTGACTGACCTTCGGTTAAGCTGCTCCATCTGTTGAATGGAGTTGGATCTCTGTAGGATCTGAGGTGCAGCTGGAGCAGTGGGCCGCTGCCAGGTGGTGGTTCTGTTCACATGATCCACATAGAAAATCCTGCCGTGGCTGTCAATACGGGCTTCCCAGTCTACAACATACATGTTATAATGACCATGGGCAAGTGAAATGTTAGTCAAAGGATTTTTTCACTGTCTGCGTGGGCTGAAAAGAGCTTTGTGTTATGCCTGTTATAGTATGACTACATTGGACAGTGGTTGGGTGAATCTCACACAAAGACAAACATATTCTCTCACTTGGTGGAAGAGGCTCGTCCACTCTCTGATAGCGGCTGATGTCCTGACGTGCTGAGTGAAGAGAACGCATTGGCTGAAGGCCGTTCACTTGAGCACTGGCTCCTTCAAAAGGGCAAAATGAGATTAATGTTGCATTGTGAATAGAAAAATAAATAAATAAATCAATGAAAACATCAATATACTATACATAGTTCTGCAGTAGATTTAATCTGTAAAGTCAAAAAGGAAATGAATTAATTATATTTTGTATAAAATATTTAATAATTCAAAAACGTATATATTTATTTTTCATTTTATATTTTTATAATTGATGTTGTGTTATTCTATTTTATATTTTAATATTATCAATATTATTTTAAGATTACTATATAATGTTTAAATATTTAAATAATATTTTTATTTTAATAATAACAAATGATGATTTTATAATTATTTGTATGTAATCAACAATAAATGAAAATCAGATAAAGTATGTTACATTTTTTAAATATTATTTGCAATATTATTCATTTTCTTCATATTTATATATTATACTTTAATACTTACATGATGAATTATTGTTTTTATTTTATTTTTTTAAATCTATTGTTATCATTATTATCATTCCTATCAACAAATGTGATATTCTATTTATTATTAAATTATTATTAATAATAATGAAATATAGTATTGTTATTATTATTCATGTTCTTAACAGTTGATATTTAATATGTAAATGAATTAAGTCATAATAATATTATTTATGATTTTTTTTATTTTTATTAATGTGCAGAAAAGTTAAAACTGATGGGAAACCTGAAGGAAGTTTGACCTCAGCTTTCTCATTAAAGTTTCCTGATACGGATTTACTTTGTAAATAACATGTATCGTCGCACAGTTACCTGTCTCTCCATCTGTTACCGTGGCAGCCTGTTCTGCATCAGCTGGCCTCCTCGCTTCATTGGTTAATTCCATCCCTTCAGCCTGTGATGCGTTCCCTGATGCTTGCAGACTCTGCCTCCTCTGCCAGATTTCAGCATCTTCTTCCTCCTCATTGGCTGCCTCACTGGAGTTGCCCTGCTCTGCTGTGCCTCCGCCCCCTTCACCAGCTTCATTACTGCCAGATGCTGAGGGCTCTGTGACTGGAGCAGCCTCTGTGGATCCTTCATCCCTAGAGACCGCCTTCAATGCAACTCCTTCTTCATCCTGTGAGAAATGGATTAGGTAAAATGATACAAAGGAAGGACTACATAAAAAACTAATTTGTGCAAATGATTTATATTAATTCATTACTATAATTATTATTATTTTTGCTATTATTCATAAAATTATAATAAGTATATACCATGAAATATTATTTATCATTTATATATATATATATATATATATATATATATATACATTACTACAAATAATATTAATAAAAAATACACATTATTAATATATATATATATATAAATATATATATTATATATTGTATGTATTTTATTAGTATTATTTTAGTAATATATATATATATATATATATATATATATATATATATATATATATTACTACAAATATATATATATATATATATATATATATATATATATATATTACTACAAATAATATTAATAAAAAATACACATTAATAATATATATATATATATATATATATATATATATGTAATGTGTTTTTATAAGTATTATTTATAGTAATATATATATATATATATATATATATATATATATATATATATATATATATTACTACAAATATATAAATGAAAAATACACATTATTTATATATATATATAATTAAATATAATTTATTTACAATACATTTATTGGTAAAACTTTATTTTAGTGTCTTTGTTACACATTATATGTAGTAATTAATTAATATAAATTTTGCTAAAATGTAACTAAACCTAACCCTAATCCTAACCCTAACCCTATAGTAAGTACATGTAGTTAATTAACATTACGCAGTACTTAAATGTATAATTGCACTGTAACAGGACACCTTAAAATAAAGTGGAACCAATTTATTAAAGTTAACAGGCAAAAACAAACAACTACGGCAAACCCTACAGACCTGTATTTTGAAAGCTGGCTGTGTTGAGTCTCCAGAGGCAGCGGTTCCTTCTTGGCCACCATCAGCACCTCCATTTTGGCTCTTTATGGTGCCACTGCTTGACCCTGACGCTGTGGCTTCAGTATCTGTGGCGCTGCTGGCAGCTTCCGACTCAAGCCTCTCCCTGGCTTTCACGGGACCCTTCCCTTTGTCCTGTGCAGAGGAGGTGTGTCCATCAGGACGGGGAGCGCCATTGGTCAATGCCGTATCCCGGGAGGCGTGTCCCTCCTCGTCTTCGTCAGAGTCTATATGTAACATAGCATTGAGCCGCGTGTCAGTGGGGAAACTAGAGCGTAGTTTGGGTGAGGCGGCCCCAAGCGGTCTGTCTCCGGGGCCCTTCGGGGCCTCAATGGTATCCAGGTAGTCGTTAAGCGAGGTCTGGCGATGAGTATGGCCCGGGGTTACTTCGGCCAAATCCGGGGCTCCTTCTCTCAAGAGCAGATCCTCATCAGGGTCCATCATGCACTCGTCAGTCCTAAAGGCGTCACCATGCAGGGACCCTTCGGAGCCAGTGGGCGAGGGGCCCCTGGCCGCGCGGGAGGAAGGATGCAAAACGTCCTCGTCGTCTGACGGGCTCCCAGGATCTCCGTTCATAGAGGAGGCTCCCAGCAGAGAGCCCATTGCATCTACAAAATCACATGACACAGCATATTTTAGTATAAATAAGAATAATTATATAATCAAATATTCTGATGACACAGAGTCTTCGAAAGATCATGATATATCAGCATATTAGACTGATTTCTGAAGGATCATGTGACACTGAAGAGTAATGATGCTGAAAATTCAGCTTTGAATCACCAGGATAAATTACATTTTTAAATATATTTAAATAGAAACAAGTTCTTTTAAATTGTAATAATTTTTCACAACATGGCTGTTTTTACTGTTTTTTTGTTGAGCATGAGAAACCTTTCAGACACTGTATAGACATAAAGACACTGTAATTGGTACCTTCATGTCCGTTGGAGGTGATCTCCACCCTGAAGTGAAGCTGTCCGCTCACATGGTCCGTCGGTAGACGCCGGCAAAGCGTGTAGCTCACATGTAGATCACTTCATTCCCAAAACAGTCATACAGAAAACAAAAAGTTTAAAGCAAGTACGCTTAAAAAAAATATATAATATATTTTTCCCCCCATTTTATTTTATTCATACAATAGTAGCTACCCCCTGAATTATTACAAAACTTATGTTTACATAAATGTCAGTGGTCAGAAATGAAACGCAAAGTTCCTGGAGGAAATGACTCTGTTGTTAATGGAAGCTCATATATAATAGATCCTCTCAGGAATATTTAATAGTGAATACTGACCCCGCTGTATGTCTCTCCAGCAGTCTCTGCACCGGCATCGTCAGCTGACCTAAAAAGCGTTTGATGATCGGGCGACTTTTTGCAAATTTGTCCTTGACCTCGATTTCCAAAACGTCCGTCATCAGTGCAACAAAAGTGTACTTCTGCAGGGGGGAAAAATAGACGTATTAAAATTCTGTGCTGAGGAAGTGAAATAATATAAATTCTTATGTTCAATCTCATATATAGTAACAAAACTTCACTCTTATTTACTTACAACTTTTGGACATGTACCATTGTACTTTAATATCATGATGTTCTTTGAAATACAGAATGAAGGAGTACCATGTAAATAGATTGATATGGCTTATCATTTAGTAATTCACTAGTTGTTGTTGTTTTTTTTTTAATAAAGAAAAATATTTAAGTTTGGGAAATATTATCCACTTCTAGTACAGTAATTTCTTGGAAAATCTGAGGTTAATGCCTCAGGACACAAAGCACTCACTGAAAACTAGTTTGAAACTGGTCACCACTACTTGGTTAAATTATTTTTTGGTATGTTTTATCTTACCTCAAGGGCATTCAAGATGTAGGTGTCTTTGTTTCCACAGTATTTTCAATTTTGATATTTTTAGGTCAAACCGTTCTTGTCTGCCAGTCATATAATGGAGGTCTATGGTCACCACCTCAAAGAGCATGCACAGAGAAGTCCAAATTAAACATGATTTAATGACTCGTAAATGTAAGTACACATTGATGGCCTAAGACACGAAACGAGCGGTTTGTGTGAGAAAATGAACAGTATTTATATCATTTTTACCTCTTGTAACAAAGCACCTGCGCCCTCAGACCACATGGACGTGGCTGTGGTTACATGAGGTAAAAACTATATAAATACTGCTCGTTTTCTCACACAAACTGCTCGTTTCGTGTCTTAGGCCATCAATGTGTACTTACATTTACGAGTCATTAAATCATGTTTAATTTGGACTTCTCTGTGCATGCTCTTTGAGGTGGTGACCATAGACCTCCATTATATGACGAACGGTCTGACCTAAAAATATCAAAACTGAAACTACTGCGGAAACAAAGACACCTACATCTTGGATGCCCTTGAGGTAAGATAAAACATACCAAAAATTAATTTCAAAGTGAACTATCCCTTTAACTGCCCCAGTCCGTATATGATTTACCTCTCCGTGCCACACAGGGTTAGTGGTGTTGGATATGATGGAGGTTCGTCTCTCTTGGCCGTGGTGGGTGAATGTAGGGAAGCCGTGTCTTTTGCCTGGTTGGATACTCATCTTCAGATAGGGGTCCGGATTAAAAAACATGCCCTTCTTCAGACCCTGAGCCCTGATATCTGCAATATAAACACATACAATGTGAGCTAGCAGCATAAAAAAAGATCCATCCATCCAGCTATCTATATATCTGCACAAGCAGCTCATTACCACAAGAGGGCAGATATATAGCAGTTTTATTTAACAAGGCAACACATCAATTGATATGTGAGATTGTATATATTTGGGTTAGGATGAGATATTTGAAATCATTGTAAATTAGCCAGCGATGTCAAAGTCATTAAACAGATAGTTCACCTTAAAACAAACAAACAAACAAAAATCTGTCATCATTTACTCACCCTCAAGTCAATCCAAACCTGTATGACTTTCTTCTCTGGAACTTAAAAGAAGATATGTTGGTAATCAAACAGTTTCGGTTCCCATTGACTTCCACTGTATGGGCAAAAAATACAATGGAAATCAATGGGAACCAAAACTGTTTGGTTATCAACATTCTTCAAAATATCTTCTTTAACGTCATGAACGTTTAGAACAACACGAGGATGAGGAAATGATGACAGAATTGTTATTTTTGGATGGACTATACATTTAAGCCAAATAAACTACAGTAGCCTACATTATTTTGTGCACAAATTGTATATTGTGGCTATCGTTAGTAAAAAAAAACAGAAAAACTATTTAATGAACATTGGCGTTTTTCAGAACAATCCATTGTTTTACTATATGGTTAAGGAAGGTCTGGGCGGTAAGATCATTGCATTGCCTCTCATTCAGCTTATAACATTATATAGAAATCAGTTTCATAAAGAAATATTGGGTAAATATCCACTTATTCTTACCTGATAGAGTAAAGCTGACCAATTTCCTACAGTGTTCTGTGACAGACTGTCCATCCACCTGCCCCTCTGTCCCGACCTGCATTACACACAATTACACATTATGATATAGAGTTATAGAAGCCCGAGCAGCCTGCATTATTAATATCCCTACACAAACATAACAAGCACGATTGAATGCCTGAGCTGAAGCAATGGACAGAAAACTAAAAACATATTCACTTATAAACTGATAGGTGATAGGATAAGCTCTGTTGGAATATACCAATACACAATATTCATTTATAAACTGCAGGCAGAGAATTTATTTTTATGTACATATTATAGTACACTATATATTCAATATCACAAAAATAAGTTGTTCAAACAGCAATAGCGACTCTATGCGAGTAAATCATATTTATTGAAAGAGATCCCATTTGTTATTAATTATTCAATATACTCAATAATATATTTATGCCATATATTTGTTCAATTTAATATATTTTACAGCAGTGTTTTGGTAAAACTATGGTGGTTATAATGACTTTAGCAGAAGAGATGTTCAGCCAGGAGTTTTCATTCAGGATCAGGATCATGGTTATGAATAATTTAATCACATTATAATGTTCCTACTCATTAATGTGGCAGTGTGATTTATGATTATAGACACTTGTTCAGCTGCAGAGCCCCCAAATAATGGCTTTTGAATGACGGTGAGATGTAATAGGGCTATATAATATAATATACATGTCCATATGTCAAACCGATGCACATTTAACTCACATTTTGGTCAAATTTTTGGTGTGTGTTCGCTCAAAACATGTCCTGCATCAATCTAAACCATATAAAATAGCAAGAGGAAACAGTAATTATATTAAAACATCAATTTTATTAAAAGTTCAGTTCAGATTGAACCCAGAAAATATTGCATAAGCTTTAAGTATGCAGACCTCAGGTCACGGTCACATGATCAGATGTATTAATTAATTTCCATTTCACAAAAATAAGTTCAAACAGTTATAGTGATGCTGTGCGCATGAATCAATCCATTAACTATGGGTTCAAGTTCAAGCTCATGTCACAGAGGGTGGAATGTGCCCTTTGGGCTAGTTTTGTGGCGTCGTGTCGGCAGCCAGGCGCTAAGCATATCAAAGAGCGCTCTCTACTTCCTGTGCATTCCCTGCATGCCTGTGAACATGATACGTCTCTGTGGAGCACCTCATAATGGAGCCTGCAGATACACAGGCAGAGAAAGACCAAGAAACACATGCAGGCAGAGACCATGTGAAACCCATCGATCACACATGCTTTTGCTGCTTTTGTGCATAAGTATGAGCGCAGTTTGAATTTAACAATAACCAATATACACAAAAATCTAATTCATTTTATATTAATGCAAATTTATCATTCATTGCTTGAGAACCATTCAACCAACTTCAATGGGAACCAAACGGTTCAAGGTCCAAAAGACAGTTTCAGTGCAAACTGCATAACTGTTCAAAGGGCTTGAATAAATAAGGGTCTTATCAAGGGAAACGATAAGACTCGTTCATCAGAAAGAACGAATCTTATTCAGAGTCATTTGGTTCATTCAATGAACGAACCGGAAAAATTGACTCGGAAAAAGATTTGTTCATTTTGACGAACGAGTTCGAACAGGAGAGTCACGAACGTGCATCACAGAACAGAGCAAGGCGAGCATTTGAGCTCATACAACTTAAACTTTGTTATTTTCTTTATTAAATGAGCGATCGTTTCGCTTGATAAGACCCTTATTCATAGTCTGGAATCCTTTAAAGCCCTTTGAACAGTTTGCAGTTTGCACTGAAACTGTCTTTTGGACCTTGAACCGTTTGGTTCCCATTAAAGTCCATTATATGGAGAAAATCCTGGAATATTTTCATCAAAAACCTTAATTTCTTTTCGACTGAAGAAAGAAAGACATCGACATCTTGGATGACATGGGGGTGATTAAATTATCAGGAACATTTTTTTTTAAAAGTGAACTACTCTTTTAAGCAGCACAATTATTTTCAACATTGATAACAATAAGAAAGGTTTGCAAATCATTGTGTTAGAATGATTTCTGAAGGATCACGTGACACTGAAGACTGGAGTAATGATGCTAAAAATTCAGCTTAACCATCACAGGAATAAATTACATTTTAAAACATATTCAAATAGAAAACAGCTCTTTTAAATGGCAATAATGTTTCACAATTTGACGATTTTGCAGTATTTTTTTAAAGGGATACTCCACTTTTTTTGGAAATAGGCTCATTTTACCACTCCCCCAGAGTTAAACAGTTGAGTTTTACCATTTTCGAAGCAATTCTGCCGATTTTTGATATTCAGAAGAATATCAGTAACCAGACAGTTTCTGGTCTCATTGACTTCCATTGTATATTTTTTTCCTACTATGGAAGTCAATGAGACCAGAAACTGTCTGGTTACTGATATTCTTCTAAATATCAGAAAATCGGCTGAATGGATTGGAAAACGGTAAAACTCAACTGTTTAACTCTGGGGGAGTGGTAAAATGAGCGTATTTCCAAAAAAAGTGGAGTATCCCTTTAAGGCAGCCTCTGTGTACATAACATACTTAAAAACATTTAAAACATTACAAAATCTGTTTTAAGATCCTTTTGAATATGTAAACACTTTAAAAGTGCTGTTTAAATATTGCATTTAAAATGATTTATCAATGTATTATTTGTTGTTACATTTAACTATTTGAAATATGGAAAACATAGTTTTAGACATTCTATTTATTTGTCAATATGAAAAGTGAATTATTTAAATTGGTCTCTTTTTAATTAACAAATTTATATTTCTAAGAGAAACCCCAAGTCCTCTACAACTCAAATTCCATTTTAGTCCCTTTTTGTTCTTTGTAGTGGTGACATGGCAATAATGGAAATATGATAAGCATCAACTGAACCTGCGCTTCCCAAACAAGCACCACAGCTCAGTGTGTTGGAGAATATGCATTTATCTCTAGTCTAAGCTTTGGCTCTGACATATAATATTGACCTAACCTAAATATTGGCCTGACCTAACTATTAAAAAAAAAAAAGGTTAAAGGGGTGGGAGTACTATTATGAAAATGTAACGTTATGCCATTTTGATTAAAGATGCTTTCCGATGTTTCCCTGAAGTTCAGCCGTGACAATCACTTTTAAAGGGATAGTTCACTTTGAAATAATTTTTTGATGTGTTTTAGCTTACCTCAAAGGCATCCAAGATGTGTAGGTGTCTTTGTTTCCACAGTATTTTCAATTTAGATATTTTTAGATTTAAACCGTTCTTGTCTGTCAGTCATATAATGCAGGTCCATTATATGACTGACAGACCTAAAAAGATCAAAACTGAAAATACTGTGGAGACAAAGACACCTACACATCTTGGATGCCCTTGAGGTAAGCTAAAACATATCAAAAATGTATTTCAAAAGTGACCTATCCCTTTAGTTCAATGTATTATGAGTGAAAATACTCTTTTCAAACACAATTCAAAGATTTATAAAGGCCCATCTGATGCCGCAACTCAAAGTTTTAAATCCAATACTCAACATAGTCAGATACTTACAGTAACCCCAGGGTTCTTGACAGTGATGCAGGACGTTGTGGCCCTCAACGCTCCACTCACTCCATGGTAATATTTGAAACAGATTTTGGTCTCCGCTGAGAAATATAAAAACACAGGATCATGTTTCTGAGAGATCAAAATTTTTAAATACAAACAGCACATACGGTATCTCCATTATTATTTTCATATTTGATTATTGTTTCAGCCTAAGGCGCACTCACAGACCATCTGACCCATAATGCACAGAAAAACGGAAAGAGCTTTCTTAATCTGATTGGCTGCTACACTAAGCGTTTCAAAGAAGAAATCTTGCCAGATTCATTGCATCTAATATTCAAGAATTTTGTAAGAGACATTTAGTAGTAAGTGAACAAGATATTTGTATATTTATAGCTGTCTCTCACATTTACATTTCATTTCAGATTTACTTGCTCCTAAACATCCCAAAAATTCAACACAATAAATAATAGAAATATACACTGCACAGTTGTATGGGACAGGTTTGTCTGACCAACATGTAAAGCGCTTAGACATTGTTGATTCATCCTAAAGTTAATATCACAGACATAAATGAAAAATTAGTATTTGACAGAACATGCACTTTTGTTAGCTAGATTGCTACTAAACTCGCTACTCAGGGAAAACTAAGTTTCTACAATACCGTTCAAAAATTCTAAAAACCTGTAATATATTTTGGTTTTTGTCTCTTATGCACACCAGGGCTTCATTTATTTGATCAAAAATACAGTAAAAAACAGTAATACTGTGAAGTTTTCATTAATTTAAAATGACTGTTTCCATTTGAATATATTATAAAATGTCATTTATTCCTGTGATTCAAAGCTGAAATTTCAGCATTACACCAATCTTCAGTCTCACGATCCTTCAGAAATCATTATAATATGCTGATTTGCTGCTCAAATATATATTTCAATACTAAATACTGACCCCAAACTTTTGAGCGGTAGTATACCAAACATTTGATGCCAGTAAACTTTGTCAGAACCATTGAATCATTAATTCTCACAGTTCATTGAAAAGGAAAGCGCATATGATTTTTCAACACTGTCACTTACGCTCCATGAAGTAAGGTCCGGCCTCAAGCCTCCAGACGATCTGCCCCCTCTGAGTGCCGTTGACCCCGCGGTTCTTCGAATCCCAAACGTTGGCAGGACACGTCTCATCTGTGTCGGCACAAAAACGTGTAAATATTTGCCTTATGCATAATAACTAAATGACTAAGATGAAGGGCCTCCTCCAGCAGGAGTCAATATCTCTCATTATAAATACGTGGCTGTGAAACGACAGGACCGGCTGATCGGTCGTGCCATAAGCCGCCACACCTCAGTAACATTCTCTCAGGAGCTTAACGTCTTTTCTAAGGCTCTTGAGAACAAACAAATGGTTAAAGTATTTGTCCTGAAAGTAAGGAACCATGTTCCTAGTTGGTGTTTCCTGTTCTTTAACTCGTTTGCCATACAGAGAACCGTAATACAGCTTAATGCCCTATCATGCATGCATAATACAGTAAAAACAGCATATCGAGGACCATGAAGGATCAAGTGACATCATTTATATATTTATATAAATTATGTTAATAATAGTTATTAATATTAATTATAATTTAAATGTATATATATATATATATATATATATATATATAAATTAAATTAATATTACGAAAATAAATTATTAATAATTGATATATACAGTATATATATATATATATATAGAGAGAGAGAGAGAGAGAGAGAGAGAGAGAAAGCAAGATTATTCATAATGTATTTATATTTACTGAGTATAAATCTATTTTTAAAAGTTATTTGAAAAATAAATGTAATTTTGAAATTATTTTTAAAGAGTTAAAATATTTTAATAATTTATGATTTTTATTTTATTAATTTTGTATATATATATATATATATGAATGTACTATCTCTAGATAATTATATAATATACAATATTGAATCATAAACAATGTAGATTTATTTTATCTTAATTAGGGCTGTCAAATGATTAATCGCATCCAAAATAAAAGTTTGGTGCACTGTATAATTATTTTATATATATATATATATATATATATATATATACTGTAAATACACACACATGCATGTATATTTAAGAAAAAATATTATTTATATATAAAATATTTATATTCATATATAATATAAGTTATATATAAATCTATATACAGTATATACAAGAACATTTTTCTTAAATATACAAGCATGTGGGTGTATTTATATAAAATAATTATACACAGTGCACCCACATATATTATGTAAACACAAACTTTTATTTTGGATGCGATTAATCACGATTAATCATTTGACAGCCCTAATTTTAATACAGAAAATTATTTAAAAATATACATTTTAATAAGATGTCCAATAATTAATCTTAATTTCCGATGGCAAAGTAAAAGGAGTGCACAAATGAAGCTCCAGCACTGTGGGTAAATGAGTCCATGAGCACATTAGCTCCAATTTCCAGTCTGAGCTTGTCTAATCAATACACCCACATAAACCAGAGACCCAATGACCCACTGATTATCTCAGATTGACACAATCGTGTTCTCCTTTCTGCCCTCTGATTCAGGACAACCCGTCACTGAACAAAAGAGAGAATAACATCTAGCGACAAATCTCCCAATTAAGCCGTCGGCCTGATTTAGGTGGAATTAGGCCTCATTGAGACACAAATGTATCAGTCAAATCTGTCCAGTTGACAAAAAACTAATAATAATTAAGGAATTTGATTTTAAGCAAACTTGTTCTGACCACTTTTGTATGCAATTTGAAAATTTAAAATAAGATGTTTGCAAAAGATTTGATTTCAAGTTATTAATTCGGGATGCAGCATACTGTATGTTTAACGTCAGGATTTAATTGTAGCATACATTGTTAGTTTTGCGTGAGTGAACGTCATGGCAACGTACAAAAAGTACCTCACGCGGAAACACTTAACGTAAAGCATAAATTCGCGTAACTAACGTAAATCAAAGAAGCTACTATGGCTACGAAGTGTTGGCAAAATAACACATTAATGGAGCGGAGGGCATAATATGGAATTTTTTCCAGAAAATTTCTTGCACAAAATAAATTCAAGCACTTTCAAGGACCTGTATCTATGTATATTTATTTACAAAAACTTTCCAGGGCCTTGAAAAAAAAATTCAAGGACCTGTGGGAACCCTGGAAAGATTTTAGCATGATCCATCTATGCATTCAGAAAAACTAAAGCTACACAATATAATCCAGAATCCATTTGCACAATTTCCATAGTGTCAGACTATGAGGTCACATCCAATAGATATACTCAACTTTAACTTTATTGAATCTCCTGAGATATGAAACAGAAACCTTGACAATTGAAAACTAATTGAGTGTATATCAGAGAATGGACCTGCCGGTATGCATTTCCAAATCATGAAGAAGAATGGGACATTCAGAAGTGAGATTCCTCTAAAGAAAGGTTTACAGCTCGTGTTTTGTCTCTTGGTGTGATTGCAGCCTGTGATCAGTAATGTCGAGAGGCTCTTCATTCAGTGAATAGACCAGCCTTGTCTAATGTGATCTACAGCAGCTCATCTGAAACTATATCACAGCGAGGACACTGGGCCTCTGTTCCTGAACGTCTACAAAAACCCACATATCACCCCACGTGTCACATGACTCACATATAAATCGATCATCTCTGACTCCAGCAGTGCCTTGCATCATCCAGTTTCCCAGAAAAACCAACGAAATGCTTTACTGTACAATCAGGACATATTATGAGCACGATTAACAATAAGACCAGTAAATAATGCAATATTTAATGTGTTAAATTTAACAATGTGACAATAAAAGGACAGAAATAACAGAACATTTATAGCTGTCTGTGACTCGTTTATCTGAAAGTGTTAAAAGAGCTTCTAATCCGCAAATGTATGTATATTAGGTACCTAAATATAATACATAAAAGTATGATTCATGGAGAAAATAAAATGATTTAACACCATTATAATTCGTTTTCATTACTTCAGGACATTTTCATGCACATTTTGCCCTCAAATGATCATAAACGTAACGTGTGTTTTTTTGTAATCCCCATTATTCTCAATTACGAAGAAAAAATGAACAAATCTTCCTTTTAGTTATTTAAACCAGCATAAAAATGCAGTAGAACAAATAATATTATATTTATTTTTGTATGATGTATAGTTATTACAGATGTATAGAGATTTTGACATTTTTTGACCTCTTTGTCCAATTAAGTAAAAGTGAGTAAAATGTGCTTAATTTGCCATTAAAATGTTGTTATAATGCAAAAAAAAAAAAAAAAAAAAAAAAAAACTGAAAACAGGCTTTAATCTCTTTATGGAAAATCTATTTTTTTTATTTCTTTTGACTTTGAGCTGAGATTTGACCAAGTGTGTTGTTGGTATAGATTTTGTAATGGACATCTTTTTAACAAAAATGTCTGAAGGCATCTATAAAACTCATTTATTTTAATTATTGTTTTAAAATAAATCAAACTTTTGGTCATTGTTTTGGTCATATAAAACTGGTCATATTAAGGCCGTTGTTCTGTTAGCGTGTAGTACAGGTCATAAATCAGGCCTTGGTCAGTCCTGTGGCGAAAATAATACTATGAATGAAGCTCCAGAGGATCTGAGTGGATCGATGACAGGCACAATCCCTGAGAGGAGGCCTTTCTCTGGGACGGGCCACAGAGGAATTCCCCCGTCCTGATCGATAGCCCCATGAAGCTGGCTGTAGTAGTGAGGGATCGGCTTTCACTGACCATGACTGTCAAACAGACCTGTGCTCATACCACAGAACAGATTACTTACATTCGTACTGTATATAATAATATACATCTATCTTTAAGAATAAGCAAAACAAAAAGCCAGTTTTTATGTCAACTAAATTGTGAAATCTTATGTAGCTCTCAAACCGTATTCACTTCATAGCTCTTAATCCAGTAATTGTGGACAAATGTGGGCACAGACGACTCAGGTGTGATCTTAATTTTTATTTATTATAAATGTTATATCACTGTCTTCGATAAAGTTGTGTCTATCCATTTATGGTGTTTTTTTATTTTTTATTTTGGGGTATTTTTGAATGTATTTACTTCAAAAAGTACCATATTTTCTATGTAAATTATGCTTATTTTTTATGTTTTATTTTTTACATTTTTTAACTACATTAAAATATCATTCCAATAAGTTCTTAGAGCTAAAACCTAAAGATGAAGTGACTTTGTGTCTTATTTTGGCTTATTTTAGAATGCTCTAAATTACCGTTTCCCATTCATTTCTATGGGTGCCCATTTTTGACCCAAATACAAGATTAAGTAGGGTTTTTTTCACCCACTTGACATTGTAGAATTGAGTCAAAAAAATGTGTGTTCAGGAGGCAAACTTAGGAAAAGTAGCCAAGTCTTGTACCACTCAGATCAAGGGAAGTATTTTTAAAAAATAAATCAAAATTATTTTGCCCACATTTGTCCAGAATACGGTTTTAGGGATAAACAATATCTTTACTATTTCGAAATAATCCACGAGTAATGATTGTATGCTTTTGTGGGTGCTTGAGGGGTTCGATCCCCAGATAACTCGTGCCTTTTTCCTGTTAACCATTTGCAAAGCAAAAAAAAATAAAAAATCACAGAAAAGTAACAGCACACGAGCTGCACAATTCAAGGTATCATTACTGTAACTTCCACCACTAAATTCCCACTTCCAAGAAGCCAAATCTATAGAGATAGTATTACTGAAGCGGTTTGATGCATTTGATTCAAGCTAATGCTTTAGCTGGGAAAATTTTATGAAGTATAATTTTGCTTTCTTGTGCAAGAAAGAAAACGTCACTATAGTTTGCATTACAAAAATAACTTTGAAAGCATTAGACCAAGAAAGACAGATCCAAACATTTCAAAAAGAACACTTTCTGATAATTTAGTCACTGAAGTTCATTAGGAATATGACGCCAAATGGATTTGCCTCTTACACAATATTATTTAATTTAAAAAGTATTTTTATTGTTAGCTAATTAATTTTAAATAGCTAACCATAACTACATTATACAGTGTAAAAAGAAAATCAAATGTGTCCACTTTGCCCGCAATTATCCAAAATGATAAAATAATAACATCTCCAAACATAACAAATGTGTGCATAGTTGCATTGCAAGTCAGTGAATGGTTAATTGTATTGCAGTTGCTCAGCTGGTCTGTATCTAGGGATACTGGTGGGTTGAGCTTTTTCATGGTTGGTTGGCATCTCACGGGACGCTAATCCTCCCACATCTCCTCTACAAATCAAAACTACGGCGGTTATGGGCTCTCAAAAGCATCTACAATAATGCTGAGTAATTAGATTCAACCATCAGTGCAAGTGCGGAGGAGAAGACGAGATAAAATGTAGCTAATGACATGGTGCAATTAAGCCAGTGTATAACAGAGTCAGCGGTTTGTCTGTTTTCCTTGGCTCATTCACTTGCAGTCTTCTCGTGAACTTGTTTTGTTGGAGCGTGTCACAAAAACGAACCGAAGCCCAGCACATAGTACTTGTCGCATCGTTTTTTCTTTCATTTTGTTAAACTATTTTGCAAATAGGCCTATATATGTTTATTCTGTTTTTATCCATTCACAGAAGCGCTGCAAGGTGGGACACACTCGACGTGACGATTTTGTTGTTTATGCTGCTCCATTATCTATTCTAATTTAACATAATCTTGTCAGTTAATGAGTCAGTTGTTTGTCAGGAAAAAATAAAAAAAAATTAGCACCCCAAAATGGGAGTGATTTAATTTTGATGATCCAGTGTAGGTGTGGTGTTTACATTTACTAACTTTGTTTGGTTTTAGTCAGAAATACTTGAGATTATGGAAGTAAAATGTGTTGCATGCAAACAACATTTCATTCTGACTTCAAAATGTACGCTATAAGTAGTCATGTTGGCTAGTCTACACAAATGAGGGGTGCAATGTGTCAAAATAAGGTCTCTTTTGACACAAAACTGTCTAAACTGCAATCACAATGTCTACAGGCTACATTCTCTGCATGAAAAAATAGGCCTGCTATTTTGAGACAAACCCTTCTCCACATCCCTTCACTTTAAGCTGCAATTCTGCAATTTCTGCACATCTAGTGGCACCAAATGGAACTGCAATCTGCTTGTTTAAGCATAAAAACATTACCTCAACCAATGCCGTTAGTTTTGACCTACCTGTTTCTCTAAAATGATGGAATGATAGAAGTAATGGTAAGTAAATATAAGTTTACCTTTCTTAAAGCTACACTGTGTAAGTCTTTTAGTTTATTCTTAGCTAAAAACACTTAGTTCTTTCAAAAATATATGTGCTCATTAATGTATATTTACTTCGTTCTTACTTCGAGTGTATAATATGCCATTGAAAATACATACGGGTAAGGGGTTCTAATGTCGGTCGCCATGTTGCCCCTCCATCTTGAAAGTATATTAGCCAAAGAGGGACATACCCGTTAATTCAAGCTTCGCCTTTCGCGTTTTACGTTTGAGTTAACAATCATGGACGAGGTCGAACTGGAAGCCAAGTTAATCTTGGACTACATTGGCCACCGTAGGAGTTAAAACGAAATCGGAATTGAGAGGAACAGAAACTAATATTCATTGGATGGTCATATACCTTTTCACCGCTAGATTGGGGTAAAAATCACACAGTGTAGCTTTAAAAGTAATATAATGAAATACTTTCAATAGAGGGTTTCCCCAAACCCAAAAACATCTTACCAATTTGGTACAGCCCAATCCAATCCGTGGCATCCACCTCCTCCTTGATGTCCCAAGAGATGACCAGGTTTTGCCCTCGCCCAAGTGTGAACTGGTACGTAGAGGCTGCTAAAGAGGAACGACTATCCGACGTCACCAGGTCGGTGTCACTGTTGGCCCGCTGCAGGCCCATCGGTTCAGGTGCTGCTCCTCTAGAGCTCGCCCCATTGGCAGAGCCACCATGCGACGAAAGGCTGCGGAGGTTTTCCGGGCTCAGCGTGTAGCGCATGTGAGGGGTGCGCCTCCGCACCACTAGGAGATGTTCACGGGCGGTGGTGGTAGTGCCGGTTGCCATGGTGACTTGGGTGGAGGGGTGGGGAGTGTGGTGTGGGGAAGAGGTTGGGTGATGGGGAGTGTGGTGAGGGGAGGAGGTTGGGTGATGGGGAGGGGGATGGTGGGGGCGGGAACGGGGAGGGAGGACTGCCGTGGCCAGCGAGGGGCGAATGGTGGAGGTTGGGATGAGATGGAGGTAAGAAATAGGAGCCAAATGGCCAAAAAAGGGGGGAAAGGGGGTGGGATTGGGTTTGGGCTCAAGACGTGCCAACAAGCCCTAGTTGGTGGAAGCTTTCTCCTTCCTTAAGTTCTCTGGAAGTGGTGGTGGCATCTAATATGATGCAAAAACACAGAATTTAACTTCAGAAATTCATCACAAACTTGGGTTTTCGACCTCCAGGTATTTTAAGCACATCTAATCCAAAAGATTGAGGGTTTTCTGGGCCTCCAAAACTCAAAGAACATGCCAGTCAGATCTCTCAAGAGTTCATTTTCAGTCTTTGAGAAATGGTGGAGGTCATACAGAGTTAGTTTCTAGGTGGAAAATGGCCTTGAAACAAGGTTAGATTTGGGCTAGGACCAAGAAGCACCAATAAGGTGCAAGTTCTCTTCTTACTTAAATTCTCTAGAAGCGGCAGTAATATATAAATTTGACTTCCAAAACTCATAACAATCTTGGGTTTGCAACCTTAAGATATCTTAAACACATCCAATCCAGATGATTGAGGATTTGCTGGGCCTCCAAATCTCAACTCAAAGAGCATTTAATGCCAGTCAGATCTTTCAAAAGTCCATAATTAATGAATGGTGGAGATCATGCAGAAGGTTTGGGTTTAATGGGCCGACAAACCCACTCAACGCACTAGCTGATGTTTCTTGCCCCTTCTTCAAGTTCTCTGGGGTTTGGCATCTAAAAATGCGATTACATAACCCACTTCTAAAGTACCCAACAGGCTTGAGTTTACGCCGTTGAGGTATCAAATAAGCATCCAAACCAGAGAAGAAAAACAAAGGCTGCCGGATACCAGTCAGGAATCTCAAAGGTCCCTATTTAGAGCCTCAGATGGTTAAAAAAAAAAGAAAATGGACTGAATTTAACATATTTCTCAGTATCATAGCGGTTTCTATCCAAATCATCTGCTATGGGCATTACCACTTCCTTTCGTTTGATGCAGCGTGGATTTTTCCTGTCCATTTGTGGTAATAAGAACTGGATTTGTGATGTAAGGAATCTGATCTCCGCTTTGCCTTCAGGTCCAGGAGATGGATTGAGACAGGGTTCGATTCCACACTGGGGTTTGGTTAATGGGACACAGGCCAGTGACGTAAATGCTGGACAAATGATCCCTAAAAGGAACGGGGAAAAAAGCAAGAGGGTTAAATAGGTAGAAAAACAGATTGTGTTTATAAATTATAGTGATTCATCAGTTTAATATAAGCTAAATATTTGTTGCATAATCTGTTACCAAATTGTACCAACTTACTGTTGCCAAACCCACTCCTTTTTCACATATAGGCCACTTTTAACAATCCAATCAATTTATGATGGACAAAAAACCCAGCCTGTACATTTCTATTCATAACGAATCTGCTTTCTTAATTTACCTCTACCATAACAAGTGTAAAAGGCCACAAAATCGATCCAAAGACGGCGTTCGATTTAAGGCCAAGGTTTCACACGTGTTCCGTCTTTCCCATGGCAAAGTGATTTTTAATTAAATGCATAACATTTAATCTTAATGTATTAACCCGTTTCATCTGACTCCATAAAATGAAAAAGGTTTAACAATGATAGGGGGTCAAATGTTAATCTGCAAGCAATGCCATTTGTTTTTAGAGGCCACTGGTCAGATATTTTCTCTTTAACCAGTTTTCCAGTCTTACACAAGAATAAACTGTATTTTAAAATATATTAAATTGTAATAATTTTACAATATTACTTTTGTATTGTATTTTCTGGTCAAATAAATAAGTCTTGATGTGTATAAGATAACTTTCAAAAACAAAAAGTCATACAGACCTCAACTTTTTGAACAGTAGTGTATATTAAATCTACCAACAATAAAAAATCCATGGCAACAGCAAAAATATTCATATTGATTGACACAAAGAAAAAAAATCTAAATATTGCCCATGGGCATCACTGTGTAATCCTTTTGTAAACCTCTTTCTTACTGTACATCACCATTCTTCTCATATTTTCCCTCACAGTCAGCCCTCCTTTCAAGCTTAGATAAGCGTGTAGCTCCTAAATTAGCTCTTTCTGCTTGAGTTGTCTGTGCAGGTTTTCATAAGGGTGTGAAACAGCGAGCGATGTGACATGCCCAGCTTTCCTCAGCACGTCCTGGCCCCCGACCAAACACAAGAGTTTCTATACTACTGCCAAAATCATCCCGTACACAGCCACAAGCTGTCTCGCTGTGTCTGTAGGGCAGTCTATAGACACTGACCCATCACAATACCACATTTTAAAGTAAATACCATAGTACATATGTATGGTAATCAACCAGTCTCATGTTATATACTACTGTATATCTATATATACTATGCCATTGCATCTAATGCCATGCTACACCACTGTATTTTCCTGTAAAAGAACACTATCAGTATAGATGTTGCATAAAAATATCACTTAGTTCGAACTTTTGAAAAATGAAAATAAGTTTCCATGTTACGCTTTCAATTTCACCACAAGTGGTTTGAATTTGACAGAGTAAAGCCATTTTGTTAAATTGCTTTGCAATGGTTTAATATGGATCCAATTATCAGATACAGAGAATGGAGAGAAAGTGAGACGGATGGAGAAACTAAGAAACAATGAAACTCAGGAGATAAAATATGATCGAGACGGTACAGTGGAACTTGCCTAACTACAGCAGAGACAGACAGTGAGACAGCATATGAACACAATAGATCATAAACATCACACTTTAATTACATCTGTAGCCAAATATTGCTAAAACTGTGCGGTTTAGAATTGATTGATGTAGAATCTTAAGAATATTTCCCCAAAAATAGCATCAGTTACTCATCATGCTATATGTCAAACCCGTACGACTATCTTTGATCAGACAGATGCAGCCTTGGTGAGTGTAAAGCCCTATTCGCACGGGATTAGTATAATCTGGTGTCCTATAGTAATTTGTAATAATTGCAGAGTTTGTCTGTGATCTTAATCCCGTGCGAATAGGCCATGTCGGTAATTTGTAAAGTAAAAATTCCCCCGCAAATGACCTACTATATTTCGCCGAACACCGAGGTCCTGTGATAATATTAGTCCCGTGTGAATCGGCATCTCTGCATTTTGGCCGGATCGTGTAACCTTTTTCAAGGTTTTTGTTTCATGTGTGCCATTTTATCCATCTTTCGTGAAGAATGGAGGCTGGTTTGGAGTGTTTTGATAGTATTTTTAGTGCTGGGTCATATATCGCTATAACACGACTACACAATTTTCAGAAAGTAAAAGCTGAAAATCATCAGAAGAGCAAAAACAAAAAGAATGATTAGATGGAGATGAATGACATGTGGTAAGGAACTTTATTCTGTTTATGTCATAATATATCATACAGCTATACTAGAGCCAGACCGATATATCGGCAGGCCGATATTATCGGCCGATATTAGGCATTTTCCGAACTATCGGTATCGGCAGTTTTACTGGCCGATAAACTAATATTTCAAAACTAAAATAAAAACGTATGAAACACGCTTGAACCATGTCATAAGTGTTGGAGTTGTATAGTTTGTCCACCAGAGGGCACTCTCTACACCGTTCCTGTTGGCAACACTCGTTGAGTTGATCTCTCCTCGGCCTGTTATTTTGAAAATGTAGCCTATATTTCTACAATTTGCAGTATGACGTTATCCATTGCTAAATTATGGCTCATTTATGGCAAATTTAGTTAAAACTCATAAATAACTACAAATAACTAATGTTAGGGAAATCTGTTAATGTTTTGTTGCACGTTTCTGAAAAAAAATATCGGCAGATATATCGGATTTTAAAACAAAAAATATTTGTATCGGTCTCGGCCTTCAAAATACTTTAGCGGTCGGGCTCTAAGCTATACCTATAACGAAAAGACATTTCCAAGCAATAGCCTATTGACGTCATATCCGGGCGATAAGTCAGTAAATTCGAGAAAAATCACAGGCTTCAGTTATCCCGTGCGAATGCGCCCCATGAAATTCAGATGTGGCGGGGTAATTTATAAATCACACGAGGTCCCCAGATAATACTAATCCCGTGCGAAAAGGGCTTAAGAGACCTAAAATTGTACCGACCCCAAACTTTTGAATGGTAGTGTACTAATATTTCTGATGCCAGTTTGGTTTCCCATGTGAATACGCTGAATAAGTGATAAAAAAGGCCAAGTGTGTCTGTTGAGCAGGAGTTGTGAAGGTCCCACCAAGCGGTCTGGTCCTTATGTAACTGCCATGCTGTTCACAGTCTCTCTCCCACACATTTCTGCTGCATTGTTTAAAAGTGTGACAGCAAGGAACCTTCCTGGGAAATGTCACTATCAATAAAAAAAGGAAGAAGCGAGATTGAGGGGTGACAGGTGAAGTATGTTTATCTTTCCGTGAAGCATACGTGTTTGTAGTCTTACTCTGAAGTGCGCAGGATCGTTCATGCTGTCAAACAGAACACGCGAACCAGTCTAAACGTGCTTCAATGGGGTGGATGTGGTGACGTTCAAACTATAGACCCTTTTACAGTTGGTAAACATGGTGACGTTTTTTTGTGGGCGGAGCTTAGGTGGGGTCAGAAAGATCCATCTGGCCGCTTCACTAACGCTAGTTAGCAAGGATTGTTTGTTTTTTAACAATGACAAACAACACAACAAGATGACATTTAATAATAGTAACAATTATTTAAGCTCCTTATTATGTAGCCGAATCTGTGCTGTTTTGTATTGGCCGCCTCCAGTTTTCACTTTGTTTTGCCTCCAGCTAGCGCCATGACGCAATCGGCGCAAAAAGGGGTCTATTGTTACAGTCCTCAAATAGAAAAAAAAACTCAATTTTTCATTTTAGCTCTTTCACTATTAATAAGTCAATAATGACTCACGATGATTAATTTCATAAGTATATTCTACACTTCCATACACTAAAAAAAGCCAATTTAGCTCTGTTTGATATACAGATTACATTCACCACGTTTTTTCACACATCATGCCTACTGGTTGTGCTCATGACACCATCAGATATTTAACTTTTTTTTCTGTCCTCACCTTTTCTTACTGCTAAAATTAGCCCTCATCAGAGTTGCACAAAGCTTCCAATGAAACTTTTCATCATTCCTTCAACAGCTCATCTGCATGCCGCTGTCAGAGCAAATCCTCAGAGGAGCGACTGCTCCATTTTACAACAGCAGACAGTGAGAAGCATCGTAACGCGCAGCTCGAGCGTATTCGAATGGCACGTTGAGACGAGTGGGCTTTTGTACCTGAGAGAATTATCTGGAGTCAATGTTATACCTCCATGGTTCTGGAGAGCTTATCTAAAAACAGCATTTTAGGAGAACATTCAGCAATTCTCTAGTCTTGCAGAGCCAGATGTTTGAGCATGACTGGTCCACATTTTCACCTAATCTGACCAAGAACTGCCCAATTAGGGTGTGTTCACATTTGTAGTTTTGTTCACTTGGTTCGTTTGGTCTGGACCCAAACCCTTAGCGTTTACATTGCCATTTTAAGACTGAGCGGATATGTTCACAACCTGATTTTATTATGAACATCTTGTGACAGAACATCCAAATCAATGCTGTGTTCTGGGCTAAATGCTCTTGTTGTATGTGCGTAGCTACATATGATGGTATTTTGACCAGCTGAGAACTCGTGAACAGATTATAAAACGTCTAAAGGAGACAAAACAACATCAGGAATCCCTCCGTCACACACACAAACAAAGACACACACAAGGAGACGTGGTTCTGATTCTTGTCCTGAACTGTGATGGGAAATATCGCGACTATGACGAGAAAAAACAGGTATTCTTGAGCATTGTCTTTTTTAGGGTTGCATCTTGTGACATCATGTCTTGTTTATAGTTAATTTACATGTATTTAGTTCATGTTGTGTTCATATTTCGAGATTTCCCATCTTTTCAACGGTCCCCGTCCGTTTTTTTGGTGCGCACCAGGATTTGGATGGCAGCGCTCACACTTTTTCAAATTCAAATTAGGCATCTTCTTGCTTGCTTGGTACAGAATCCAGTGGGAATGAAAAATTATACAATTTTTAGGTTGACCGGGGATCTGTGATTGATTTTTTAATAAGCTAGTAAACTGTCTTTTAGAACTAATCATGTTTCTGACTCTAAAAATCTGACCGTGCTTATGATCA